TAATCTTCCTATATCTAATTAATAAACTGGCAGAACTAGAATTCAAACTCATGTCTGCCTGACTCTAGTAACCATGCAAAATCCATCCAATAACCATCCAAAATCCAACCTGTGAACATCTGAAGAAATTTTGCTCTAGAATCAGCACTGATTTCCAACTCCGCTGTCTTCTATGAAGATTACATAATAAACTAATACAAAGTTAAACTCAGATTATGTTCCTGCTCTGGTCAGCCTCTGTTTGCAAGTTTGGGTCAACCTTGGAACAGCTTGTTAAAGCAGAAAAAGAAGCTACGCTTGGTTTGGCCTTGCGCAATATGAATTTTAAAGGACGTTAAGTGTGGCTTGCTAGAAAGGCCCCATTTGATACTGGCTGACAGTGTCCTTCTATAGAATTAAGTGGAAATTTTTTTTGAAGTTCCAGGCAGCCAACAGGTGAAAATACATTACATATGCAAGTCTTGGGGGAAAGGCTCACCTGTGGTGAGATAAGCCCTTCCCACCCTGGATGAGTGGGAAGTTTGATTTTTCTGCGGAAATAAACTCGGAGTTTAAATATTAGAACTTATGGAGAAGGGTTATGCCCTTCTAATGTATTTGAAGAAACCTGAGGCTCTTTGGTTCTTTTGTTTTCCGGAGTCCATTCCCATACTCCAAAAGACACATGCCATAGGGAGTGTGTTAAATGTCAAAGAAACTGTAAATTGGTAGACATTAATGAACTCTGTCAGATGAAACAGTTGCAGAATGGGAAAATGAGGAAATGCATCATTTAAGAAGTTATACGCAAGAAAGGAAGGGTTGAGAATTCATTCTCATTACACAGAATTCAATTCTCCTGTGTCTCCCACCTACGTAAGCTGCAATTATTTATAAATTGGATGTGGCTACAGGTCATAGATGTTTTATGAGTTTAAAGTGGGAGCACCAAAAACTAGAACTATAAATGTCATTGGAGCACTCATTTCTCTAACAAGTTTGGTGTATAATGTCATCTAGGGCCCATCCCATACCAGTAGGGAAATGTCAGTCAGGAGCTGCTTTTAGATACTGAAACCATTTCAGTGACAGATAAATGCCTTCCAAAGAGTTTGGGTTGCAAAAATGAAAAAAAAAAAGAATCTTTATATAAGTTGCTGGATTAGGTCATAGAATTGTCTCAGTCCATAGTGTTTAAGCTACACCTGCACACATGCAATTTACAAAGATAGTTTGACTTCAGAGGGATTTTATTAATATCTTTTACTTCACCCAGAAGATGTTCTTTATAATAAACAGGAAGCCTCACTAAACATGACCCAAAGTTTAAGCAATGGAAAGGCACATAGATGATGTCGTATATTATAAATATTTTTTGTACTTGCTAGTTTATTTCTAAGGAAATTATGAGAATGACATCATAATGATGACCGACTTTTATTAGTGTTTTTGCTCTGAAGCTCTAAGCAAACAGTTATGAAGAAAAACAAATTATCTAGTGTTATCCCTTTATACATTACCTGATGTTTTCTAGTGACATTAATCCTAGGAAGTAATTCTAGGACTATTGTATTCTCATTAGTTTTCTTTTACACGTTTATCATAAAAAAAACATGGTAGTAAAGCATAGAATTTCTGAAAACTCATACTGGGAAATAATTACCTCTTATTTTTGCCTGAACTACTGCTTGGTTTAGTCTACAACTCAAAAAACAATTTTAGACTAGTATTTTATAGACCATCACTTCTTGCTATCAGAGGAAGGGTTTTCACAACTGTTTATTGTATATTAGCAATATGTTCCTTTGTTCTACTAATACCAAGGAAAGTCATTAGCATTCTATTTTTACTGAAGCTTTACTCTAGTGCCGTTTCTAAATTAATCCTTTTAAATGATTTCCTTGATAAAATTTAGCCTTAGAAGAGTGTGGGGTGAAGATATACATAATACATGAGATGGAGCTACAAGCCTGATATTTATAGTCTTTTATTCATACACTGAACAAATATTTGAGTGCCTATGAGGTGTCAGCCATTGGGCTAAGTGTTGGAATATAGTCAAAGAATACTAAGACTTGATTTCCATAGAAGAATTTCTTCTTTATGGGGTAGGAAAACTGGTGGGGACAATCAACAGAAAAATGAATGATAGTGGTGTGGTGTCCTAGCAATTCGTAGAAAGTGTTAGGAAGAAAAGAGAGAAGCGTGCTGAACTCCAGTCAGAGAAGACTGCACAAGAGCCGGAGCTGGGTCTTAAAAGATCAGTAAGTTCTTCCCGAGCAATGAGATGGGGGATCCGGAGGGACTAACTGAGCGCAAAGGCGTTACTAGGATGTGGACGCCTCGGGAGGAGAGAAGCCGACTGCGGTGGGAACAACAAGGACATGAGGCAGAATGGCAGAAGTTAAACCTGGAAAACAAGGTTAGGATCATCTTGTGAAGGGTCTTGTGTTCCCTGTTAAATCATTTGGAATTTTTTGTTTGTTTGTTTGTTTGTTTGGTTGTTTGTTTAGATGAGCCATCCTGCCACCTGTTGGCAGCTCAGCGGCAGCTCAGCTTGGGCCGGGAATCGAACCGCTGTTGCTCAGAGCTCGCACTCTTGAGGGAGCTCTTAACCAACTGAGCCACACGGCCAGCCCTTGGACTTATTTTTTAGGTGATGAAAGTCAAAGTTTTGTTATTGTTTTAAGGTGACAAGGTAGAATAATCAGATTTTCTTTTTTACAAATCTGTGTTGAAGAAAGTGGGCTCTTCTTATCGTCAGACACAGCCAAAAGACACAAAAAACTCTTATAGCCAAAGAAGAAAAACGAGCTGTCCTTTGTATTGTCCATGATTTTCTTACCTCCATGTAGATTTATGTCAGGAAATTACTTGATTCAAAGAAAACTTAGCTTTATCTGTGTTCTAACCAGTTCAACAATGGATGCTAAGGTCACTCCAGAATTAAAGAGGGCAGTTCTGTCTCAGGCCCTTTCCTGGAATGATGTCTGGCTCTTTAAAAAATAATATTTCACTGTATATCTTTCTACAAAAAAATTTTACACATATCTGTGATCGTCTATTGCTTATCACACATTGGGGAGATTGCCAATTTTCCAATTAAAAACAGTAACTTTTAAAATCATTTTTACAATAATAAAATAGGGGCTATCAGATACCTGGATTTCTAATATCCAGGATTTGGCTTTACATTTTGGTTATATGTGTAAGAAAAAAAGTCCTTAAAAAGTTTTATATCATGCATATTAATTTTGATAGGTAATTTTACATTTCCTGATTCCCTAGTTCCTGCTATCCAAGCTTAATAGGTATAACATAAAAGCCAATATATATTGCATCTGGAAATATTTAAGAAAGAGTAGATCAAGGCAGTTGGTTGATATTGCTGATATTTGTGTTCATAATTAGGCAATGAATTGTTGCTTCTAGAATTTTGATTTGTTAACTGAATGATGATGATTCTTGAAATATCTCTGAAGTTTTGGCTAAAGCGTTTGTGTTTATATTTTCTTTTTTTATGTTCACACAGTATGTATAAATACAAGCATAAGTATCTTTGTTTATTTTCATAATTAAATAAGTATCTGTAAATTTAGATTTCATATATAAAAAGGCCTTTTTCAATTGGTCCCTTATATTTCAAATATTCAGATAGACAATGAAACAAGCTGCTTTACTGCAAATGTCACACACAAGACCAAGTGCCATCAGCGATGCCCCTTCTAAGACCCTCCCCACTGAAGTCACTTTGTCACACATGCCTTGAGGAAAACGAGCAAACACTTTATCCAACTATGGTTTTCCACTTGATACCATCAAAATGGGGAAACAAAACAAAACAAAGAAAACAGTTTTCCTTATCAAAATAAAAAAAAAATGTAAGTGCTTAGGAGGAATAATTGAATTCTCACTTCTTTTAGAGCTGACCTTATACATTTCAAGGGTGACATCTGGGTTTTGGGGTTATAGATCTGATAGAATAATCAACACATGAATAAATGATTATTCATCCCTCCATATAATCTTAAAGTCTCCATTCTTCGTTATATTTAAGGGTAGCACTTGTACTGTCCACTGACATATACATGAACTACAAGCCCACCCCTCTGCCCTCCATCATGAGGAAGGAAGGTGCTGACTAGTGAGCAGCCAATCTGTGCCAGCTGAATGCTAGTAACTGAAAATGTTTATTCTGTGCATTTTTCATTAAAAAAGAAACCTTATGAAGTAGAAGTTATAATTCATTTACAGTAGAATAAAACTGACGTTCAAGGGTGCTTCTATTGCTTCCCCAAAGTCAAACAGCTTAAGTCCCAAAGCAAGGATTCAAAGCCAGCTCTGGTGTTATGGAACCCACATTTGTTCCACTCTATTAACATGCGCCGCCGGATTCCTAAAGCTCTCCACAGAGAGCAAGTGTATGTACTTCTGTCCTCTTCCCTGACGTTTCTCTTTCCTCAAAGGATCACACTTAATAAAGGGCTCTCTGGGAGATGCTATTCTTTCTTTCCTTGCAATTTTCTTCCCTCTTTCTCTCTGCCCCTTGAAGCCTCAGCTTGAGTGTGTGTATCTTCAGAGAGGCCTTCCCTGACCCCTGGTCTAAATGAGATTCCGTCTGATAGGCTTTCCCATAATACCCTGTTCTTTTTTTTTAATGGCCTTTTCACACAATTTAATTATGTATTTATTTGTAGGCTTAGTTGTTTAAATTCTTTTTCCCCAACTAGAATACAATAGCCCGGCCATGACGTACAATAATAATGGCTAATTTCTGTTGAGCACCATTCTGCACTCTGTCCATTAACTACTTCACAACAACCTAGGAGATAAGAAATGTCCTCCATTTTAAAGATGATAAAACTGAGATGCGGAGAGGCTAAGTCACTTTCCTATGTCAAAAAGCTAACAAGTGGAGGAGCCGAGTTGCAATCGTAGGAAATCAAAACCCCCGAGCCCACATTCTTGAATGCAAATAAATAGGCACTTGATGCACAATGACACGGAAGCAAGTGGCTTACCATATTTCACCCCGATGACTGAGTGGAGTGCTGGAATCTGAGAGCGAGAGCTGTGCAGTGAGCGAGGATGGTAATGATGTCATAATGTTGATGACAGTGGGTAAAGTCAGGAAAGTGGAACCTTTAGAAACACTTCAGTTGCCATAGGATTTAGAACCAGGGATTGGTCTCCGCATGGTGATTCTGAAAAGTAAAATAGGAAGCATTAATGTGCCACCGATTTTGTCCAAATTGCTGTACACGTTAAATTATGAACCGATTAGAAAACAGATCTGTCTTTCACTGTTTGGCTCTTCCCTGAGTTAACTAAGGATACAATCGCATGCAATTTGAATATCAGAAATTCTCCAAATTCTGCCTTTTGGTCCAAAATTATATTATTTCTAGTTATTTACAGTAAAATTTCCATTATATTAAGAATTATAGGGAACACAGCTTCCTTTGCATTGAAAATACCTACCGGTAAAATTTCCTGGAAAAGGTGAACAACCAGACACTGTCTTCCTTCCAATAAATCTTCATATATTTAAGGCGAGTTATGTGTACTCAGATATTTTTTTTAAACTTAAGAAATCCAAGCCCTCCCTTTAGTCTTTCTTCATTAACCCTACTCTGATTATATAACTACTTTCCTATCTTTAATATGGACTTCAGATGTTTCAGATGTCTATAATATATATTGGGTTGTCGGAAAAGTCATGACTTATTTTTTCTGTGTTTTTCATTGCAAAAACGCGTCATGACTTTTCCGACAACCCAATAGTTCCCACACTTATCTCACCTTAATGGAATAGTATCATACACGGAACTGCAAAACTTCTTATTTTAAATTTTACATAATTTAATATTAAAGATGTATTTTTCATAAGTATAGATTAATTGCTTTTATTCAGAATTAGTATAAATATGTAATATACCAAACATCAAAAAGAGTTGCTTAATTTGGATATCTGAGGCATAGCAAATGCTTGTTTTCTAAATGTTGATTTGTAACTGTTATTTTGAAATAAGAATGATTTTTTAATGTGAAAATGGATCTTTAGATTGATTGTGTTTTCAGTCTTAGTGTTGCTGCGTTGCTAGAATTCAGTTGATCATTTTGTAAAATAGTGATTAATGGAAATATCAAAGATTCAAAGAATTTGATTTTGCTATTTTGGTAAATTGCAAGTTTAATTGACACATAAATCATGTAAATACAAACTCTACTCAGAAAATAATTTCAAAAGTACCACAATTTTTATATGACCTTGAAGTTCCAGCAATGTATTGCATAACTTCTCAAGAGAAGTCAAATAGAGGAAACCTCATATTTTCTTAAATTTATTAGTGCTTCTTGGTGGTCTAAACTGTTGGGGTTTTTTTTTTGGTTTTTTTTTCAAGGTTTCTTTTCAAAGCAATAATCTTAATTGTTTAATGTTTGTTCTCATATAAGTCAATTTGAGTTCTTTAGAGTAACAATAGGAAATATATAATAAAGAGCAATGAAACATGACTAGGAAACTCAAGTATACTAGTGTTATATTTCTGTATAATGATGTGAAGATAATGCTTTTAGCTGCATGACCACCATATTAGCCACACATCATAAAAAACAAACTTTATGAAAGCAAGAGGTCAAATTCATTAAAAACAATTTTGTTCCCTTTGTTATAGTTAAGCATTTATCTTTAATATTGTAATCTTCCTTTCATTGGAAGGACCATGAATCTTCCATTTTCTGACAGGAGGAAAAAATATTTTTCGAACTACAAAGGTATAAATCAGATGAAACTCTCAGGGAAACAGGCTTTATATTTTTGGGTTTAATGTTTAAAACAAAATGGTCAGACTTTATGCCTCAGATATTTTAGCTTTCAAGATGGTAAATGAATCATGAGTCCATTTTATTTCATTAGCTTTTAATATAAAAATTGAATATTCCTAATAATTCCATTAAAATTTTACTTTCATTCTTATAAAAGTTAATTGTCCTTACATTCATAAGACTTTTATTAATAAACTATGAAAAATCATTTTTCTTTATTATAGACCAAGTCATTCTAAGAAAGCTATTTCCAAGCTGCAAGACAATAGGACACCTTCTTCTTCTTACCCATCAAGTAAAATAAATTTGAGGGATTTGAAGAAGTTAATGATGCATTTTTAAGTTGTCCTCCTTGTTCCAAAGGAATCACTTGATTTTCTAACAAGGTTTGCCTCATATTTGTCAATTCAATAATTTAAAATATATATATGTAATTTAAGAAGGATCCTAAGAAGGAAATCCTTAAGAGAGTGAGAAAAGGAAAAATTGAAGCTCCCCAAACATAAACAAATATTTCTTCTGTTCTATAGCATCATCTAATCTTTGGGAATATATATATATATATATATATATATATATATATATATATATATATATATA